CCTCTTGAAACATACTATCTATTAAAGAAACCGCTTCAAAATCCGTCGCGTAGTTTTAAAGATTTAAGCGTACATAGGGACGGACAGACAGCGACAGCGACTTTGTTTTATACTATGTAGTGATATGAAATTAAATAAAACTCATAGAAAATTTATAGAAAGTAACAATCACCTAATGGGCGAAATTCGAACATAATTTAAATATATTTAATTAGTGAATATATTATGGTTATGATTGACATTCAGTAAAACTATAGACAAATAAAAAACAAAAATAATATTAATATATTCTCAATTTGACCCAAACCACAAACTAATACTATAGACAGGTGTTTCCCTAAGTGGTCTATATCGACCTCCAAGGGTCTATGACAAACTGCAAGGGGTCTATGATTGTTGTTTTTACTTTATGTTTTTAACACTAAACTTTACTACAGTTAGAAATTTACAAAAAAATATTACCAGGTAAGAATGGGGGGTCTAAGACTAGGGTGTCTACCCAAAACCGAAAAATATGGCATGGGGTCTACCACACAAAATAGTTTGGGAACCTCTAATCAAACGACAAAGTAATCTATTCTCAATTTGACCACAGACTTTAACAATAAACTAAACAGTATATATGTGTTTGCGTTATGGACTTAATATATTTTTATGTATATTTAAAAAAATATTAGTATTCTGCATTCCATAACCATATAAACTATATATGTGCGAAATTGCATTTTCCTCCATCCGCACAATTTTCATAAAAATGGGTGCAAAGTATTTGCTTCAAGTATTCATGTATAGAATATATTAAGTTTCAAATTTCATTAAATATATTTCTATTGCATTCGCATTGTTTCGGTTGCATGTAAAAATAACATTATTTATGAATCTGATTGAAGTAAGTACCTAGAACCATTAACAAACCTTCGGTTAGTGGTACGAGACGTCCGGCCAATATTTCATTTCGTTACCTGTTATACTATACCAGTTACACGTTCCCGCGGGAATTTATGGAAAATATCTCCTTACTCACATATTCTCATATTCGAAATAGAAATAATTTTTATTCAGATAAACTTAATATAAGCACTTTTGAATAGTCAAGTTTTTTTATTCTACCGCTTATTCGGAATGCAGAGTCATCACAAGAAGAATGATAAAAAACTTGTATGTTGCTCTTTTAAATAAATATTGATTTATATATATTTAATTAACAACAAGGATTAGGCATGCGACAATCAACATAGAATAAACAATGAACTTGAGTTACTTGTCATTATATATAATATTATACATAATAATTATTTATATACGAAAAAAAAATACAATTATACATATAAGCAAATATATACATACATATAAAATGTATACTGTGAACGAAGGACTGTATATATATATGAGGCTGGTAGATATAATTATGCAAACACGGGTTTTTAAGAAGCAATATATAATATTACTAGCTGTTCTGGCAAAAGTTGTTTTAACTTAAAATAAAAAAAAATATTAGGGGTGGACTACCCCTAACATTTAGGGGGATGAAAAATATATGTTGGCCGATTCTCAGACCTACTCAATACGCTCACAAAATTTCATGAGAATCGGTCAAGCCGTTTCGGAGGAGTATGGGAACGAAAACTGTGACACGAGAATTTTATATATAAGATGTATAAAAGTAAAACAGCAGAGCAAGAATGTCAACATATATTTTTCTATATAAAAATAATAGGTGAAAAACAGAAATAATATCTAAAGAGGTGCGTCATGCACATATACCAAATAGTCTAACAGTCACAGAAATAAAAAGAGTATAATAGAAAAAAAAAGAAAAAAAATGAGAGAAGAGAAAAATTATAAGTTCTGATAATATTCCCATACTTTACGTCTATAATATAAAAATTTTGAAAATTATGCATTTATATTTTTTTTAATAAGAAACCAACTTAATCCTAGAGACAGTTATGTTGTACCTATTACATTTAAATCAAATATGCTAAGCGAAATGTGAGTGAAATGTGTTCCGTTAACAATTTTTATAACAGAACTAACAATAATTCCTCTGAGTATTTAATATATATATATATATATATATATTATTTATTGCACTTTTAAATGCAGTAGTAAACTTAAATATATACAGAGTGACCAAAGGTGGACTTATCTCTAAAAGAGATCTCTACCAGTCAACTCAACAGTGAGGCATCGCTATTAGTGCGTGGGTAACACATGTGCAATTAATAAAATTATGTTGAAATTTCCAAAAGTTGAGAAAAAAATTATGTATTTTGTAAAGATCTATATCATTACATAGTATAAAATAAAGTCGCTGTCGCTGTCTGTCCGTCCCTATATATGCCTAAATCTTTAAAACTACGCAACGGATTTTGAAACGGATTTTTTTTAATAGATAGAGTGATTCTAGAGAATGGTTTATATATATTACATGTAAACCCGGACGAAGCCGGGGTCGAGTAGTTAGTGTTATATATAAAATTCTCGTGTCCCCATGTTACCATACTCCTCCGAAATGGTTTCACAGATTTTTAAGAAATTTTATACGCATATTCAGTAGATATGAGAAACAGCTATCTATTTTTCATACTCCTAAGAGATAAGGGGTGGACAACCCTTATCTCTTAGGAGTTGCATTTATTTTTTATTTTTCGGTCTAATTTTTTTATAATTTATTTTTTTATAATGTGACATTAAATTTTCACTCTTCTATCACCAACCTTTATTTTTTAATAGCAACATTAATTTATAGGACAAAACCACGTTTGCTGAGTCAGTTAGTATATATATACATATATACAATCTGTACCCGCGTTTTTAACCACGTGAAATTTATTGCCTATGTATTATTCTGATGCATAAGCTATATTATTGTAAAGTATCAACAAAATCCGTTCAGTAGTTTCTGAGTGAGAGTAACAAACATCCATCCGTACTCACAAACTTTCGTGTTTATAATATTAATAAGATATATAATAGAAAATTCTTGCGGTTACTTTTCTGTATATCTTCTTAGCGATGTTATTTCAAAGCCTCAGGGAGTTAAAAATCAATATTACCCACAATACAGTATTTAACTTGAGAATAGCTCAGAAATCACTATTAATTAATAGATTTCATATATACTCATTAATTTTTTTAATTTTTTTTTATAATTCATTAATGATGTGCTTCATCATACGAATTCCGAAACCGTGAACGATGTATCTTTATAGAGAAGCCTTGGGCGACTTCAGGCATTTTCACGCGTACCTACGTCATTGGTTTGAGTGAGCGAGCGAGCGAGACGGCAATAAAGGAAGGCAGAGTATGAAAAAGAGGAACATAGAAGCCTTGCCATAGATTAAGTTAGTCGCTGTATGTGTCTTAATAACGATTGTCTCAGAGAGGTAATTGACGTTGTCTTTCCACGCGTAGTAGGTACCTACTTATCTGATAAATAAGTAGTTTATTATTTTATTTTGTGAGATATACATAGTTTACATATATTAATACGTATATATTTATTTATTTATATACACAGAAGTGGGGAAAGAATTAATTACAAAAAACTTTACGTTCATAAGAAGCTAATATGTCCAACACGTATAATTGATACATGATAATGAATATGTGAATTAGAAAATTTAAATTTGTTCTAATAAAAACTGTTACAAATATTTTTAACTTTCGTGTTTAATATACATTATTTAAATTATTAACCGGGTCTTAACACGAATAATTTTATGGCAAATAAAGATATTTTTTATTTTATCAAAGGTAATTTATTTACCATAAAATTATTCGTGTTAAGACCCGGTTAATAATTTAAATAATGTAACAAATTTACTTATTTCATAAACTTAGTATAACGTTTTAGTTAGATAATTTTTTTTAGTATATAATGATAATAAACATTGCTACCCAGTTTACGCTCATAATATGATTTTGGTTAATATTAGTCACGTTTATAATATTAGTAAGAAAGATACTTTGATAAAGTAGTACTATATTTAACAAATAAAATAACAGTTTACAGTAAATTTTTAGCACACACTGTATTATATAAAATAGTAAAATTTATACTTTAATAAAGTATACTGTAAAATATTTTACAATCTGTTATAGTAGTACTGTATTTAAAAAGTAAAGTTACAATTAAAAGTTTAGTAAATTATTGACACAGAAATAAAATACACAGTCTGAATTTACTTACTTTATTGAATAAACTAACAGCTTACAAATAAAACATTCGGTAACATATTCTGAACATACAGTATCCAATTTAACGCATACTATATTTGTTAATAACAGTATCAGCTGATAAATAAAAAAATGTTACTCTATCATAGAATACTGCATGCAATAAGCTAACAGCTTACAAATAAAACATTTGGTAGCATATTCTTAACATACAGTATCAAATTTAACGCAGACTATATTTGTTAATAACAGTATCAGCTGATAAATAAAAAAAATGTTACAATATTAAAGAATACTGCATTCAATAAGCTAACAGCTTACAAATAAAATATTTGGTAACATATTCTTAACATACTGTATCCAATTTAACGCAGACTATATTTGTAATTAACAGTATCAGCTGATAAATAAAAAAATGTTGCAATATTAAAGAATACTGCATTCAATAAGCTAACAGCTTACAAATAAAACATTTGGTAACATATCCTTAACATACTGTATCCAATTTAACGCATACTATATTTGTTATTAACAGTATCAGCTGATAAATAAAAAAAATGTTACAGTATCATAGAATACTGCATGCAATAAGCTAACAGCTTACAAATAAAACATTTGGTAACATATCCTCAACATACTGTATTAAATAAATACAGTAACAACTCACAAATAAAACATTTGTAATTTTTTTAACGCACGCAGTATTTAATAAACACTTCGACAGCATACAAATGGGAAATTTGGTAAATTCCCAATCGACACTGTAATTTATTAGCAGAGTAATCTGTCTACCGATTTTTCCCCGTTTCAAAATCTTTGACAGAAACGTAGAGTCGTGCCCAGTTCGCTTCTGAGCGTCGGCGGTCGCTATCGTCGTTGTTTTGTGTTCAACTGAAATTCAGTCGCGTTTTAGTTTGTGTATATACACTGTGTGTGATAAATATTGGATCATTGTACTTTAGATGGTGAGTTGTATTTAACATATACACTTAAGTATACGATGAGAGCATCAAGATGTAACTACATATCCGTATTGTAAAGGTCTGTATAACTTAAGTCTGTAGGTTTTTTAAGACTTGTATTATGAAGAGGAAAAATGACATAGTTTCTAATGGATTCACTCAAGAAATCATTAGTCTATATTAAACATTCTTTCATCTATAGAATTATCAGCGAGTAATTTTTTTAAGACCTGTTTTTTTTAATTATAATCCCTATTGTATTTAGACGTGTTAGAATACGGGCGGGTCTGTAGTATCGAATATGATCGTTAGTTAAGGATTTTATATACTTTAGAGATTACTAACTACTCGCCCAGGCTTCGCCCGGGTGTACATATATTATACATATAAACCTTCGTCTAGAATCACACTATCTATTAAAAATAACCGCTTCAAAATCCGTTGCGTAGTTTTAAAGATTTAAGCATACATAGGGACGGACAGACAGCGACAGCGACTTTGTTTTATACTATGTAATGAAGATAAGAATAGTAGGAAGTAAAATAGTAGACCTGTATTTATTTTAATTACAATATTTTTAGAATTGGACGTGTTCGAAGACGGGCGGATCTTTAGTATCCAATACTAGCCGTGCTCGCGGTTTCACTCGCGATAAATTTCAATAAAAAATATAGCCTATCTGTTATTCTGATATATAAGCTATATTACTGTATAGTTTCATCAAAATCCGTTCAGTACTTTTTGCGTGAAAGAGTAACAAACATCTATACTTACAAACTTTCGCATTTATAATATTAATAAGATGTTCACGAGTTAGGGATATTGTAGTGAATAAGATAACAGTAGTAGCAAATAAATAGGTATTAAGTAATCATTATGAGATCATAACCGTGTAAGTTAACCCTGAGGATATTTAATCAATAGAACAGATAATAATTTATTCAAATAAACTTACATTGAAGCACTTTTGAATAGTCATCACATTTTTTTTAATTTACCGCTCAATTTTTAATGTACCAAAAAATACTGAACGGATTTTGATGAAACTTTACAATAATATGGCTATGTTACATAGGCTATAATTTAATAAGATATTATGTGAATGAGAGAAATATAACGTTAAATGTTAAGTAAGTTTAATGCAGACGATGTTGCGCGGGCCAGCTAGTATTTCATATGTATATGATACATATGTTTGATTTATTTTTGAATAATAATGGTCTTAGGGCTTCAATGAAATCGTCATGTCCTTAATGTATATAAAAAATAGGTCCACATAAAAATATGTTGTTCATCATTCAATATATTAGTAATAATAACAATAATAATAATCGAGCTATACTTACAGATTAGACTATTCATTACAATAGACCAGACATAGTACTACTAGATAAAATAAATAAAAAAACTTACTTGATAGACATTGCAGTTCCTAATACACACAACCTCCACAAAACAATTGCTGAAAAAAAATTATGCAAAGGAGTAATAAAAATCTGGAAACAGGAAGGAGTTTATATAATACCGATAATTCTCTCATCCACAGGTATCATGCCTAATCACTTACATCATAGTCTCAAACAATAAAATTTAGAAAAATCACTCTACACCACCCTTCTAAAGGCCGCCATTTTGAATACCTGTAGAATTGTACGAAAATTTCTGAAAATAGACGTAAATGACAAAACACCTATCACCAAAGTTAAAAGGTTCACAATATATACACATACACGCGAATATATTCACACACACACACACACTGCAGTTACTTGGTTTTGGCCCGTAAGTGTGGTACCACAAAGCGTAAAACTCCACCAAAAACGGCACTGAACATTGACCCTACGTGTGCTGCCACTGGTAACCGCGACGATGATGGCTTCGTCGTGGTACAAAAGAAGAGGCGCACAAACAGGGTCAATAGGAATCATTGTGGCACTGCACTCACTGGGCCCAACTTTCGACGACACGACAATGTACCTGTCCCGTCTACATTACGCCACTAAGGAGCAGGACATTGTCGATTATATTCGTACCAACAGTAACCTGACATTGAGGGTAACACAGCTGAAGTCGAGTCACAACGCGAGTTTCAAAGCGTTTGTGGCCCTGGTCCCCACCGACTTGCTGCCCACCTTCATGAAAGAGGACTACTGGCCGAAAGGTGTGGTGTATCGGCGCTACCGTGACAGATTGCCGTCTTCAGTGCCGTGATTATACAGACAATATCGTTGTATTGGTTTTTAAATATTATATTATATGTATGTTAGTCTATAAGGTATTTATAATATGGGCCTAGTTGCCTGAAATAAATAAATAAATAAAAAGGATGAGAAAGTGAAATACACATTATTAATAATAATACACCATGACATTCACACAGCGCCATCTAGTGTCAAGCTAAGCAGAGCTCGTGTTATAAGTACTAAACTATTAATAGACATACATAAATATTTTTTTATGTAAATGCATAAATAATATAACATAGAAAACACGAAAACCAATACAGATAAATCACACAAATCATATCCAATACAAATGCTTGTACCGTGCGAGGAATCGAACCAGGGATCATAAGAGATAAGGCGGTATCCTCAACCGCTAGACCACCGACCCCGTCAATATATGCATATACATATGTTTACGTAAAATAGCAATCGTTAATAAGAGAAATTTTTTCACGCATGCATCATTAACTATTCAAAATTATGATTAATTTATGCAAATATAATACTATTTTTTTAAATATAACTCTTTGTAACCTCCGTATATGCAATAAATAAATAATCCTGAACAATTAACACAGCGCCATCTAGTTCCACGGTAAGCAGAGCTTGTGTTATGAGTACTAGACAACTGATATATATACTTAGATAATTTTTGTAAATAAATACATAATATACATAGAAAATACCTAGGCCGATACAAACAATCATATATATGAATACAAATGTTTGTGCCGTGCGAGGAATTGAACCCGCGACTATCGGAAAAAGAACGGTGTCCTATACCGCTAGATCACCGAGGCCGTCGATGTCATTAAGTTTATACATATATTCACCTTATTTAATATTTTGACAGCGTGATAATAGACTCAAGACTATATTTCGACAGTCTCTGTGGTCTAGCGCCACCTTACTTCCGATGGTCGCTGGTTCGATAAAGAAGAGAAAATAGCAAAAATTTCTTGAATAGCAAACAGATGGCAGATTTAGGTGGGACAGAATATCTTAATCTTAATAATATTATAAAAGCGAAGTTTGTAAGGATGAATGTTTGTTACTCTTTCACGCAAAAACTACTGAAGAAGAAAAGAAAAGAAGAAGAAGAAGAAGAAAAACATTTATTGTCAACCATTATTACATATACACATTTGACAATTGTACACTTTACACACACATATATATATATATATATATATACATACACATACTGAACGGTTATTGACGAAACTTTTCAGTAATATAGCTTATGCTTCAGAATAATATTGGATATATTTTATATTGAAATTTAACGCAAGTGAAACCGGGGGCACAGCTAGTATATTAATATGTAACCTAACGTACAATATATCTATTAATCGAATACACACTGAATATCTTATATATAAAATTCTCGTGTCACAGTTTTCGTTCCCATACTCCTCCGAAACGGCTTGACCGATTCTCATGAAATTTTGTGAGCGTATTGAGTAGGTCTGAGAATATGCCAACATCTATTTTTCATCCCCCTAAATTTTAGGGGTAGTCTACCCCTTTTTTTTTATTTTAAGGCAAAACAACGTTTGCCGGGAAAGCTAGTTATATTATAATATTATTTAAATTATATATTAAAGACATCATGAACACAGGAAGAAATAAAAAGCTGATATTTTCAGACATTTCACGTAATTTACATGCCTATATGGTAAATATTGCTGATCAATAATATTTCATGTAACATCATATTTCATCATCACAGTCCGGAAGACGTCCACTGCTGGACATAGGCCTCCCCCAAAGATCTCCATGACGATCGGTCCTGCGCTGCTCGCATCCAATGCCTTCCAGTGATCTTAACTCATCTTGGTCCACCTTGCTGGAGGCTTTCCCACGCTGCCTCTTATTTATATTTACTGTACCGATAGTTCGCAAATAAATTATTTCATTTCGTTCATATTCATCATTTCATTCATTTCGTAATTTCATTCACTTCAGTCATTTCATTTTATTTCATTTCATTAGTTTGAAAAGTGTTGTCATTTTATAACGTACACTTCGTTAAATAAAGAAACAGTCATAAAGACGCGACAGAATTTTTAATTATGTCAAATTATTGTAATTTATCATCGTCCAAGACTTCTTAATGAGGTGATGGAATGAAAAGGAAAATAATAGTAATACTATGTTATTAATTTATCTTTCTTGAGCTATGGCAGCTGAATTACAAGATACGGAGAGACGACAACTTAAATCTCAAGAATGGCTACAGGAATCAAGAAACCGATTTTATTGAAGATTTCTTATACTTTGACTGCTACCGTGGTGTAACGGTTTAATACACCGCTTTGTTTCCGATGGTAGCGAATTCGATTCCTCGCACGGTGCATACGTATTCATGAGTATGATTGTTTTTATCGGTCTGGGTTTTTCTATGTATATTACGTATGTATTTACAAAAAAATTTAAGTATTTATATCAGTTGTCTGACCCATACACACGCTCTGCTTACTCTGGGATCTCTACTCTGCATCAAGGGTTATTGTTTTCTTAATATTATTTATTTATTTTATACTTAGAGGAGAGACTAGAGAGCGAGGCGGTACTTCACTGCGAACCAGAGACTTCTCTTGTATAAGTCGCAAGTTCGGCCGCACATGGAGTACTGCTCTCATCTTTGGGCAGGAGCACCTGGATACCAGCTCGGTCCTTTTGACTCGGTTCAGAGACGTGCTATGAGAATTGTCGATGATTAGACTTCGCATCGCTTTGTGTGTTCTACCGAATATACAACGGACTGTGTTCTGA